GAAACTGAACTACAGTTCTAAATTTCCTAGAGCTTAATGAAAATTCAGTGTTTGGGGTGGTAGAGATCAGCTGATCTGCCGGGTGATATGATCAGTGATCTCGCTTCACCGCTTCATTTTGAGAGTGCAAGAAGTGATAATCTTGCCTTATCCTTATTTTCTATAGTAACTCGTCATTTTAAACCTTAACTTACTGAATTACTGTAGTAAATCTAGCTATACAACGATTTCCATTCCGTATTGAAGCAGCTTTGATACTCCGCGAAACTGTGATCGGTAGCTCAATTGGTAACGCGTTGGACTACCAATCTTGACGTCGGGGGTTCGATCCCCGCGCTGCGCAATTTGCGCCTTAGTGCGGATTCTCGTGCCAATTTTGCTTTTGTGATGGTTTAATACACTACTTAAAGCCTTAATGTGCCCTCTGAATGACTTGTTTGTCAGGAAATAGCTAAATAAAACAAAATGCGAAGGGTCCGAATATTGTCCCATGCTTATTTTCAAAAATTCCGATATTTTGAATTATTTCCCTTCATATTCTCTTCTATAGGTTGTATTAGCACTATTTTATTGTACTAGTGACATTAACCACGTTAAAATGACGAATTTCGCTCATTTCCAAAAGTTTGGCAATTTGCCAAACGCTAGATCGCGCATCTCATGATCTTGCACCATGACCTGCAGTCATTCGTATCGGAAAAAACCGCGATCCGCAAGCGCCGCGGCGTGGCACGCGGCGTCGCGCGATGGCCATTTTTTGCTGAAATTCCGAAATATCAACTGGTTTGGGGTCATGCGGCAAAGCACGCGATACGCGACGCGAGCGGTGCGGCAGCGCTTGCGCGACGTGCGGCGCGATGGGGCGACGAGCGGCATCGCGCGGTCGATACTATCGACTCTATAGATTTATTGGTAGATCAGAGCTGATCTTAGCGAGCGTAGGGGTCGGTCAAGTTGCTGTACTCGATTTAAAACTTTTGGATTTTTTAAAGGTAATAACATAGTTTTTTGAGCTCTTTGACATGTTTTATAATGTTTTAGTTGAAGAACTACACCCATAGCTTACAAGTTTTCTAGAAAACTCTATTTCAGTAAATTGATGTTTGATCTTCTTTCCAGCTGCGAGCTCTGACTGTCTGTAGTTTGTTCTTTCTTCTCGTTTTCTAGAAAGAGAGATCTATGCTAATTTACTCCTCAAAATTTTAAGCTTTTCTTTAGGAATCCACTAGAATTTCTATTTTGCAAATTTTCTCTGTGAATGGTTACTTTCTCTAAGTTT